AATGAAATGGAAGTCTCTACTCCTTCTACCTCAAATATTCGTCAAGCAGGAAGTTCTATTACACCTGAAATGTTGCGACCCTATCCAAAGGCATCTGTTCGCAAAAAGAAGTTAGGAAGAGCAAGAGGAAAGTCACGAATACTTACCGACACTCCAGAGAAAGATGAAATAGCTACGCTTAAAAAGGGAAAGACGGTATCATTTGAGAAAGTGCAGGCAGTTACAAAGCAAATAGCGACAGAAGATATACAAAATGTGCCAAAGAGAGCTGCTAAGTATGATAGTGAATCAAGTTCAAGTGATGGAGGTACATTTGAGGACTTGGTAACTAGAGAAGAAGAATTATTAAATGACCAAAAAATATATGACTTATCTGAAAATAACGAGATTAAAAAAGGAGACTTTGTTTTAGTGAAAGTGACAGGGAAGAAATCTTTTGTTTATTATGCTGCCGAGATACTGAACAGTGGAATTAATAATGAACTTAGATATTTACGTAGAATTCTAGATTCCTATAAGTTTATAAACGACTCAACCGAGACTTATGATTTTTTACGCAATGATATTGTACGTAAACTTCCACAACCGCACAAAATAAGCGGAACTGCACGTCACGATGCGCACCTGAAATTTAATGTTAAATTTAGCGGATATAATGTCAAATAAGTTTTTATTTACTAAATTAATCATTAGTTAATCATAATGTTCTGATTATTTTGAGATATTCAATAAAACATTTCAAGATTTGTTCTATTTTTTTTTATAACTGACCCAAGGTACAATATAATGCTGGTCCAAGGTACAATATATGCTGGTCCAAGGTACATTACCAGTTTGTACCTTGGGTCAACATGCAAGGGCCTGCTAAAATATATTTTTTAACTAACTACTAAGCTTAAAATGTGTCAATAAAGAGAAAGCATGTAGCCAAATAGACAAAGTAACTAATGCATTGGATAAACTTTGCAAATATATAATTTTAGGATTTAGAAAAAAATAAAAACTAAAAATTGACTCAAGGTACAACACTTTCCCCTATCTACATAACGCAATAGAGTTGGATAGTTAGTTAATATTTAGGATGTAGCAACATTTAAATAGAATTATGTTTTCAGTTAATTCTTCTATTTTCATCATTATGGGATAATTTTGACATGTATCACCAGATCTTTGACTTTTATACAGTAAGAGCCATACTAGTAGACACACTGGTATCTAATCGTTAGACTTATTTGATATACTGGGCTAATCAGGCCCGTTCATCCATGTAACTTTCAGCCGTCGCTCACAGATGGTGTTTCATTTGTAACTGATTTCTGCTGATGAGCAAGTGGGAAGCGAAACTATTCAAAAATGTTTTTCCGTGCAAATTTGTTTTTGTATTATTTATTTATATTTATTTATTATTTTATATTTCTTGAATTATATTTTTAGTTTGAAAGAATGTCGTTGTTTTCATAAAAAGCAAAAATGTTTTACCTAGATAGTGAATGCAACTCCTACCCTCTAAGATAAAAGTGCGATTCTGATTGTGCCATCATTTTAATCGGAAACCGTACCTTCATCATACTTAGGATATGTCAGAAAAAAATAAGTCAGAAAAAAATAAGTAAGGTATATCCTTTTATACAGAGGCAATAGGTTATGGGTATACAATTCGCTGCCTAAGAATTACAAGGGTGTATGATACAAAATGTAGAAACTGAGAAAAATGACTTTGAATATGTTGATCATTAGATTTGGTATACAAGAAAGTATATTTGCTTTTGTTTTAAACATAATAGATGAAAGTCTACTACAAAAGCACATTACAAAAAAGGAATAGAAAATATTAAATTTTTTTCATATTTTTATTAAATAAATAAAATAACATAAAACTTCGTGACTAATAAAAAAACGAAAAATGCAAAAACATAAAACATAAGGCTTTGTAACATTATCTTCTGATCGGCAATCTCAGTTTTACTGTTTATGTTGAGACATGTTCGAAAACATGTGAACATAAACGTTTATATATACATCTTACATCCACTTGTACATAGATTTCATAGCTTCCACCTTGTTTTGTGCCAAGCTGACAAGTTTAATATTATTTTTGTTTATTGATATGGATATTTCGTCATTTTCAGCAGTATGTCTCCCCGAATTCCGTTGTCTTAAACTGATGATTTTGTATTCACGTTCGTTAAAAGTGGTTAGGAAAACGATGTCATAAAAATCTTTAGTAAATTGTAAAGAAACCACCTTTGAAAACGGAATTGCAGTATAATTCAGTTTTGATAAATAGGTTGAAAAATGGTGTAAGGCTTTCTTGTGTTTACTTTCAAAAGGACTGTTAATAACGAAAGTGGAGAAAAGTATTCAGATTTTCTCAAACTGCGTTCAATTGCACTGTGAACTGAATCAACCTCCTGTATATCCAGGTACTGAAAACTTCATTTGAATTTTCTTTAAGTTCGTATTAGTTTTTAAAATATGTGCAATAGCAAAACCAATAAATCTATTGCGATTTCCCGGAACGCAACTATCGCTCCACAAAGTCAAATCTTTCAATAACGGATAGTCTTCTAGAACCCTTTTCGGGATTCTGTATACATCACTGGCAATATCATTCCCAGTCCGACCATGACCGACCGACCATTTAGCTTACTTTTATAAAAGAAATTTTTGACGTCTTCTTTTGGACATGTTAATACAAGTACGGTACTAAAATGATTTCTAAATCCAGCCTGCTCGACAGGTTGATAGAAATCGATACTACATAATTTGGATTCGTGTTATTCATAATTTGGAAAGTTCACTAAAATTTTGCGAAAAACAAAGTCGTATGTAAACATCTCCGCTCTTTTCACATTTTCATAACATACACCATTTTCGATTAATTTTAGAGGATTGCATGCATATATTTTAGAGTTACAAAGTTTTATGGGTGCCTTATAATACATAGAAACTTGTTATCTTTAAATACTCAGGCAGCGAATTGTCTAGGTCTAAGTTAGTTTTAATTTTTTCTGAAAAAGTTTTCTGTTGTCAAATCTCTAAATAGACAAGTTTTTAAGTTACGAGCAAAATAAGAGTTTGACGTCTTGATTCTTGATGAATCCCTCGATGACAATGTTTTTGTAATAGAGAGTTTTTGTGCAAGCAAATACGTATACGTAACGTATCTTTTTGACATATAAGCATGCGCATTAATGGTTGAACTAACGCATCTAGATACGTATTACCTAACGTAACGGGCTTGTAACATGTTGAGCAGAAGCGCATTTTCTATGTCCTCGTCTTCTTCATCATCGATAAAGGCACCTGCATTTAATATTGAGTCCATCTCCAAAATTAAAAATCGTTGAAAAAAATATTTGTTATTTATTTGGAATATCAAAAATAGGGTTAAGTGACAAGGACAAGATTGGCACTGACAACTTATTAGTTTATCACCAATTCGATGAGAGCAACACCATCGTTACGTTACATGAAGAACTTTAACTCTCAATTTAACGTTCATCTTCTTTGATACGTCAGTTTTTGACGTATAGGGAGATACGTTACGTTAGGTAGTTACAAAAACTCCCTAATATCTCATTATCTCTCTTATCTCAATGTATAGTACATTTGAACTGTCAAACCCATCTATTACAGTGGTGACGAAAAAAAGGTTATTTTTTCTAACTTGTTTGGTTTAATCTGGGGTCTTTTAATAAACTAAAAACTTCATAAACTATAACAAATTTGAATGTTTTTGTTGTTATGTTATATCGTACAGGCTACATTTTAATATTCCGCACCTGACAGTGCGGAAAAACAGCCTGGCTGATCGGGCAGTATTTAAAGTAGGATCTTTGTCTGTACAGAAAAATGTAAAAGATGTGGGATGATTGAATGTATTCGTAGTGAGTTGACAAAATCCTGGTGGTTAGTAATGGAAGTACAGTGCTGACGGAAAAGGCTTTCAGGCATCAAGCGCCAGATAAATAGTTTCAGACCATAAATTTCTCTAAAATGAACAAAATTATACATCATAATGTATCTCTGAAGTAAAAAATTATGGAGGAGCTATGATGTATGAGAAAGAGAATATTCTGATGCGACGATTGCACCATTGATGCAAAAATGGAATATGATGATGATTATGAAATGCTGAACACTCTTTTAACTCAGAACATAACTTAGGATATCAAAAGTCATCTACATATTAAAAAAAAGTTTAATGGAATAAGAAATCGACTTTACTATGTTTACTGGTAACTAACCATGATTTTCACTTTCACTCAAATTGTGATTAATTCCCAATAAAAATTGTAAATTGTGTTAGGATATCACAAGGAAATAGCTTCAGAACAATATTAACAAGTCAAACCAAATAAAGAATAGATAAAAAGATAAAATGAAACTAATGAAAACAATAAACCGAAAAAGTTATTTTTCTTAAATTAATAAATTAATATTAAAATAAATGGTACTGATTTGGTGTTGACATCTCAACATCTCAAGTTGTGTCTCTGTAACAAAATCATTTTATACAAGATGTTTAAATAACCCTTTTATAACACTTAACTAACGCCCAGTTCCACCAACGCGATTCAAGTGAAAATTTGGTCTTAAGAAACAATTTTCACTGAAGTCCGTTGAGTTTTGTTCCACCAACTAAAAATATTTACTTAAGACGAATATTTTTGCTTAAGCTTAACTCACCTACTATGACGACTTAAACAAAAATTTTAACTTGGAGCATGCATTGAACTTCATGTTCTGTCATATTGATACACAAGTGAGGTTAAATTCCTTCTGTTGATCGTCGATGTTAGGTTAACTCGCATTTTTCGGTCCAATTTAATTTTTTTTATTTTTATATTCTTATTTAATCTACAAGTATAGTACATCGTAGTATAGTAATCTATAGTATAAAAGTAGCATATAGTGTATAATAGTTTATTTGTATATATAGTGTATGTAGATGTTTTTGTGTTGATAGGATTTTTATTTTTATTATTTTTTTTGTTGTAAATTCCACCGAAGTGTATAGTTTATCGTGTATATATAGAATATGGTGAGTACTATAGTTTAAACTATTATTTTACACTAGCTACAAAATCAAATATCAAAATATACGAGAAGACAGGTCACCAATTACATTTTTACAATAAATATTGAAATGACATTGAATTAAAGACAGCATATATACAAGCAAAGATATGATACTGCGCAGATGTGGGCGGAGCTATTAAACGTCAAGTGACGTCAGTTTTTGACGATTTTTCACTCTAAATATTATTTTGGATTTAAAAATACTGGTGCAAAATGAGGTGTGCTGAAGCAGGTTGTAATGTGAACAACCAGTCAAAGTGTTTTAAGAACGATGTAAAGTTGTTTAAGTTTCCAAAAGACAAAACTGTGTGAAGTGTTTGGCAGCAAAGATGCCGGCGAGAAGATCATTTATTTTATCACTACGTCTCGTAAAAAGAAATTTAACAATCCGTAAGATTCCAGTCTAGATTTAAATTGCCGCCATTAATAGTCACCTAATGACGTCATGCGCGGAACCGAACGAATTTAAAACACTTTGGTATCATATCTTTATATTATAGTATCATGTAAAGACAGCATCAAAAATGACACAAATGTTCTTCTTTTGTTGTTTGTGCATTAATAACGTATCAACAATTTAAGAATTTCTGACAATTTTGAAAAGTTGGTATTTCTAATAACGTAAGTTTTTTCTTAGTAAACACTTGTATGGTGGAACGCAAATTACAACTAAGAAATTTTTTTGACTAAGCAAAACTTGGGTAAGATTTTACTTAGATCACGTTGGTGGAACCGGACGTAAAGGGATTATGTAAAGACTAATTTAAAAAATGTAGAACACTATTGAAAAACAGATTCAAAAGTGATTCAGACTCTGAAATTCACCTAAAAATTGTAATTTACTAGAATTAATCATATTCTAATTTAAAATACTTAACACGATAAAGTAATTTAATGAGGAATTTTTCTCCTCCGTATAATTTGTCAGTGTTGAACAGATGTAGCTTGAAACCTATGGAAGATCATTGGAATTGTTAGAACAATCTTTTTTCGTATGAAAACAGACTGTGCACATTTCCTTCTGCTTGGGCAGAATGTGTTCTTAATTCAAACCGAAGTTGGCCTGTATACATGCTATCCCTGCAATATAAATACAAAAATAGTAATTAAAATACATTCATTCAGCAAATTCCCAAGTTTAAACAAACGCACATGTTGATATTCACCCTCTCATTCGTCAAGACTTCAAGAGGCTATTATAATTTATTGCCTTAAGCCAGACGGATTCTCATTTTACAGGTCCAAACTTCCAAACAGGTCAGTCTGTTTAAATTCAAATTTTAGCATGTTGGTTATTAAGTTAATATATTGGGTGTTGTATGTTATAGTTATTGTTAAGTTATTTACTGGTCGTGTTATTTTTTAGAGTGTAGTTTAAGTGTTTAGTATTAAGTTTTATAGGGTGTAGTAAGTTTTAGTATCCAAAAAGAAAGTATTTATTAATCAAAGGTAAAAATAGCTTGCGGTAATTACTTTAATAAAGGCAAGAGAAACCAATATTTTAATTTATTGATGTTTCGAAAAGCTTTATTTCCTTTTTAGTCCATTTATTCACGGTTTTTGCTGTAAATATTAGAGAACCACTTGTATTGACATAAAATTTGGCATATACATAGCTAACGACAAAGAAAAAAGTGATATTGTGCCGATGTGTGCTTTTGCCATGGGGGTTAGTTTCACCCCTTCTCGGGTGTGAAAAAAGATGCGTTCAAAATAAGTCCAGAATTAAATAAAATGACTAACTGTAAGCAACTTTTACTTTATACAGTTTTTGCACTAAGTCAATACTTATCGAATTATTTGTGAGTGAATATGAGTGTATATATTTTTTAATAAAAAAACTACGTTTTTAGACGGTTTTCTGCAAATAGCTCAAAAAGTAAGTATTTTATTGAAAAACATATTCTTAACAAAAATATAGCTTATAAAAAAGTTAAAAAAAAATTATGTACATACCTATATGTCTGTAGACTCTGTAAAAGCAGAGTTGTAGCTAATTAAATGTAATTCAAATTTTAAATCGAATGTCGGGAAAAACTCGCTGTCGGTAAAGTGCTTGTTTTTTTTTCACGTTGAAATGAATTTGGCGAATAAGAACTTACTTTTTACTAGCTACAAATGTGCTTCTGACTTTATACGTACACCATTTTTTTTGCTATTTTATTTTGCTATATTTTTGCTAAGAATATTTGTTCGATAAAATACTTACTTTTTGAGTTATTTGCAAAAACCGTCTAAAAACCTTGTTTTTTTGTTGTTAAAAAATGAACATATTCACTCGCAAATAACTCAAAAGGTATTGACTTAGTGAAAAAACGCTATAGAACAAAGGGTGCTTAGAATTAGTCAGTATATCCAATTCCTGATTTATTTTGAAAGTATGTTTTTTCACCCCTGAGACTGGGTGAAACTCACCTCTAGAACAAAAACACACATCGGCACAATATAACTTTTTTTATTTAACATGTTAGCTATGTGTATGTAGTTTATGAATATGAAATTACGGGAACATTGTCGACACCAATATCAGTTGAGCATCGTAAAAGTATTGTTAATTCCCTGAATGAATTTGACAGAGAAGCAATAAGAAGAATAATCCATCAATTCTTTTTTCTAAATGAAATACCCACAATAGACAAAGTTCTGAAGGTTGTTAATGAAGATCCGATTTTGCCTACCTTCATAAGAACTACGTTTTTTAAATTATTAAAAGAAATCAATTTTAAGTTTCAACGTCGTCAGCGAAACAGCATTTTGATGAATAGACACGAACTTGTCTTACGAAGACGAGAATTTCTGATAAAAATTAAGTTCTACAGAAATGAAAACCGCAAAATTTACTACTTAGACGAGACTTGGCTAAACGCTGGTCACACCAAATGTAAAGTATGGGTCGACAATTCGGTAACGTCTTATAAACAAGGGTTTTTAGATGGACTTTCTACGGGGTTAAAAAATCCTGCAGGTAAATGTATATGTGCTTTTTCACCTCAAATAAATTTTAAAATAATAAAATTTTCTGGAAAAGGAAAAAAGCTAATAATCTGTTACATTAGCAGTGAAGATGGGTTTGTTCCAGAAAGGCTGTGGGTTTTGGATAAAAAAAAGTAGGGACTACCATAAAGAGATCGACGGGAAATCTTTCGAAAATTGGTTCAAAAATATACTGCCCCGATTAAAAGACAACTCCATCATCGTGTTAGAAAAAGCGTTTAATCTTTCCCGAAAATTGGCAAAATTTCCACCTACTGCTTCTAGAAAAGCTGACATCCAAGCGTGGCTGAAATAAAAAATATAGGGTTTGAGGACTCCATGTTAAAAGTGCAACTGCTGGTTATCGTTAAGCAACATAAGGGACAATATAATAAGTATATCATTGATGAGATGGCAAAAGGCTAAAACAAAGTAGTGTTAAGGCTGCCCCCATAACATTGTGAGCTCAATCCGATTGAGCTCATCTGGGCAAAAGTAAAAAATTATGTAACAGCCAAAAACACTACTTTTAAATTTGCAGATATGAAAAATATTTTTTATAATGCAATAAATAATATTAGTCCAACTACGTGGCAGAAATGTGCGCAACGCGTTCAACAAAAAGTCGAGTTCAAAATGTGGAAGTTGGACAATATAATATAATAGAAGACAGCAGCACATGTAGCTCACAAGACTCTGAGTAATTTAAATGGTATGTTTTTATGCTTTGATAAACTTATAACAATGCTACTTTATACAAAATGTTCACTTTGTGATGTATCTCTCAGTTAATGAATATTTTATTTTAGCACATTTTTCTTCAATGGAACATTAACTTTTGCTCACAATGATTAAATTTCAAGAAATTCTTACACTAGTAGTTTTTTAAATAGGTAAATATTTTTAAAAATCATATGATACACCTCAGTACGACCCTGTTTGGCTTTTGTGTGTTTGTGCGTGAGTTTGTTTGTCGTTGGGAATTTGTAAAATGAATGTAGTACAACATTATTATACAGAACTTTCAAAAGTTTAATTTCTAATTCAAACAAGTTTTCAATAATATACAGTAGTCGCCAAATATGAAGAACCAAAGGCGCGCATTTATGATACTTAGATAGCACACCCACAGGTAGATACAACCGGTACATAAAATAGGTTACTTAGAACATTGTGAAACAGTGGCGTGCATATTTTGAGCCATGAAATAAATGGGTCATCATTATCAACCGTTTTCTGTGAACGAGTCCACTGCTGGACATAGGCCTCCCGTAAATAATTCCAATGCATTCTATCTTGAGCACCCTGAATCCAGTTGTGCTGAATGCGCTTGATGTCATCTGACCACCTTGTTGGAGGACGTCCTCGATTACGATAAGCATCGTGTCTAGGTCTTTATTCCAGAATTTTCTTCGTCCACCTTCCATTTTTTAATCTGGCAATATGTCCCGCCCAGTTCCATTTCAATGTTGTAATCCTTTGAATTGCGTCAGTAACACAAGTTTTTCTCCTGTGCCACTTGTATTTTATTGATTACTTTTCTGGTAAGGGTCAATGTTTCTGCTCCATACGTTAGAACTGGGAGTACACATTGATCAAAGACCTTCCTTTTCAAGCACATGGGAACATCTAATCAAAAGACTTCTCTCAGTTTTCCATAAGCCGCTCATGCCAGTCATATTCTTCTGTTTAGCTCCGTTGTTTGATTATTTCTACCTAATTTACTGTCGTGGCCCAGATATTTATAGCTATACACCTGTTCAATTTGCGTGCCGTTAGTTGAGATGTTTTTCGCCAGTATTGTGTTTCGCTTTTTAATCCTTTGATGTCGACTGTTTGTCTGTTGTCCTATCATTGCGAAGCAGAATTCGCCAAGCGTTGAATTGTTCACCCACAGACAGGGAACGTGAGCTGGGTTTAGACTGTCGCGAGACAGGTTAGTGTTACCCTACTGATGACTCGTCGTTGCGATAGTAATCCTGCTCAGTACGAGAGGAACTGCAGGTTGACACACTTACTCGAGCGGGTAATGGTGCGAAGCTACCATCCGTGGGATTATGCCTGAACGCCTTTAAGCAGTATCCTTTCTAGTCAAAGATGGCAACGATATCTCATGGAGTTCCGAGAGTCGAAAGGCTCAAAACAATGTGACTTTACTAGGCAATCGTAGTTCGCTACGATTGTCGCACGAGCCCTTATTTCCGTTGAGATTATCGGTTTACAGTGGGATCGATCCTTGCCAGTCGACCAGATCTTTAGACGGACGAACATGGGTATTATAATCTTTTCGATGTTGGAACTCGGAATTGTCTGTACTGTAATTGTCGTACTTACGTACATGGCAGGGTGTTGTACTGGTAGAGCAGTTTCCACGCTGCGATCTATTGAGACTCAGCCCTCAGCTTGGAGATTATTCTTGTCGGTTAGACAAGACCCCTGGTATTAAAAAATAAAGAAAGCCGTTTTCTTGTTGCTTTTTTTTCATTATCTATCTTCCACTTCGTTATTAGTTTATTTTGGTATGGCTCATCCACTAAGTTATCTTTGTTTAAGTGATTCAGATTTGTTATTATAATATGACCACTTTTGAATGAACAATAACACATATCAAATTAACTTACCTAAGCTCATTCAGTGATCGCACTCCAATATCCTGACATCCATGTTTAATACCACACTGTAAATAAGGCAAAAACCGCAATACTGATCCTTTGTCTACAATACTGCCACTAACTCCCTGAGCTACTTTGAGTTTGTCTACTTCGCTGAAATATAAAAAATATATAAATATAATTTTATTAGATCCAAGACTAATAAGAATAGCTAGAAAAAAATTACTAATAGCCATAATAAATTATCGCGCTGCGCTATCTGTCCTCGCATGTTATCCAGTCAATGCACCTTATGTAAACTGTTCATGATGGAGGTGAAAACTGATTCATCCCTACCGTTTCTCGACGTTATCATAAAGAAAAACCAATCTCAAGGTTTTCGTCACTCTGTTTTTTAAAAAGCCACCCATCCAATCATTACATGAATGCCAACTCTCATCACCTTCACGAATTAATTCAGTCATTAATACCTTGTCTCCAGATCCATACGCCTTTGCGATGATGCAAGTAGACCCACTGAGCTTTCTGATTTAAACCAAGCTATCATCCACAACGGTTACCGCGAAAATCACATCAACAGAAGCATCCACAGACAACAATCTCAACTCAAAGACTGACCCTCATCATTCGAAAGCTTTGATCTCATGTCCAATCAATCAAAGACAATATTCCAAATGAACAACACGCAGTTTATGAAATTATATAGGCCCAAAAAATCGTAGAATCCAAAACAGGATTTATGAACATTCCATTTTTGGTCACAATTCCGACTCAATTTCAGCTCTAAGTCAACACCATTTTCATACAGGTCAGAAAATTGATTTTGAAAACTCCAGAACCATAGCCTCATCCGCTTCTATAAACCAAGAATTATCCGAGAAGCCATAGAAATTGAAAAAAGGCCAAATTGTCTCAATAAAAGAGATGACGGCATCCGGTTACCTTCGACATGGAGACCTCTCATGCAGAAAATATCGTCCGCTCCCGCCGCCAATCAAAATCCTATCCTACGCTAACCCCCGCCCAAACTATGCCATCATCGACGGTAAGAATTAACCGTCCTCTGTTCCCAGTAACAGTAATGCATTGATTCAGTGCAATAGTGTCTGGGGGCTCGGCAGACTGAGACCTTTTCTTAGTGTTCATTATTTTTGGAGCACGAAAATTTATAATCTGGTTATTTTAAGCAACGTGTTCTGCTAGTGCACATAAAGGTTTGAGAAGTTTACAATCACTTTTGTGTGATATGATGCGACTCAACAGATTTCTATCAGTCTCACCAATATAAATCAAATTGCAGTTTGTACATGATATGGAGTATATAACATTGCATTTTTCAGAAGTATTTAATTTTTGTTTAGTTTTAGTTTATAATGAATATAGTTTTAATATCTTTAGATACTATCTTGACCCTCTCAAATTCGCTGAAAATCCCTTTCAATTTTGGATTTGACATGCAACACGTTGCTAGGACATAAAACATTGACCATTCCGGCAGTCTAGTTAACTAAAATAGTATTTTTAATATATCTATGTAAATGGAATAAAAAAAGTGACTTACTTGTGGAAATATCTATTCATCGCTGATCCCATAGCATCTTTACGATCCATAGCTTCTAAACTTCCCATACCCCGGTACTTCTTTAGCCTAACACCATCAGAAAAGAAGTATTCACCAGGGGCTTCTGAAGTACCAGCCAATAACGAACCCATCATGACTGGAATATTTGAAAAATTAGAATGAAAAAATTTAAATTAATTTTTAAGTATAAAAAAATAAAATAATCATTTAAGTCGTACCTGTTGAAGCTCCAAGAGCAAGAGCCTTTGTGATGTGGCCGATAGACTGAATGCCACCATCAGCTATAACAGGTACTCCAAAATGCTTGGCATATTGACTAACTTTATACACTGCAGTAGCTTGTGGTCGTCCAACAGCCATTACTTCTTGTGTTATACAAATACTTCCACTGCCCATACCCACCCGCAAACCATCAGCTCCAGCGTCTATAAGGTTTTTAGCTTGTTTCTTGGTAACAACTGTAAAAGAAGAAAATAAACTGTTATTTGTAGTTAATATTGTGGAAATTGTAAAAATTAATTATTTAAGCTAAGGTTTCACATGCCTTCGAAGTTCATTGCTCCAAAATGTACTTTGAACTACCAAAATCAGTTGGTAAAAGACGAGAGTGCTTTGTCTAAATTTGCCATACCTAAGGGTCCTGCCGGGAGGGAAACATGCTTTAAAGCCATTTCAAGAGACCACTAGGTGAAATGAGAAAGCAGCTGTATTTGTGGAATATTGTATTGAAGATGCAATTATAAGAAGTGAACTCAAAAAAATCATGCAACAGAACAAGTAGAATAGATACCCCTTGGAATTCCGGAAATTATTGAAGGATGCCGTTCCAACTATTTTTATAAATGCATCTTTATACTTTTCCCTCCGGAAGTACTGAAGAGAAAAGGATTTTAACGCCATACATAGAAAATCGAGATTTTTAAAAGTGACGTTATAGTGAGTTCTAATTAAAAGCATTTTGCTTTTTGATTGTAATATAGGATTATTCGTAAAGATGCTTATTTTACACATATTTTGTTTATCTTAGATATTTTAATAAATCTGTTACATTCTTTTCAGTTAAAGTACTATTTCAGGTCGTAGTGACATACAATGGTATTTGCTAAACTCATTAAAACACATTTTTCCGAAACATCCTTTTGAAAAGTTGCTAAAATACCAGCTTTCCCAAGCTCATGAACATGGAAGAAACGTCCAATTTTTATGGGTTCCCTCACACGTCGGAATAACAGGAAATGAAGAAGCTGACAGGACTGCACGAGAGGCAATTTTAAGTGATTTGTCGGAGCCGATAGACAGATATATTTCCAGTGACTTAAAAGCTTATTTTAAAAATAAAGTGTGGTGTTTGTGGCGAAATGAGTGGTCTCAAACTAATTCCAATCTAAATAAAATCAAAAATAATGTGTCTCACTAGTTTCCATCGTCGCGCAATAGACGCGAACAAATTGTGGTTGATTACTTGATTAAATTCCTTCAATTTTGCAGTGTCTCTTTTGTTTTGTCTCAGAAGATCTTTTCTTTGTTTCAGTATGCTTTGTCATTCTACACTTATTTTGGATTTTCGTTTTCTGTTAACGGTTGCCACTTCTGAGCTTGCATTTAATAGTTCTTCTGTTAGGGCTTCATTGATATCATTTAAGCTAAGTTTATCTAGATTTAATACTTTCGCGGGTTTAACTTGCTTTTATATTGTTCTGTATTAGATTTAGTTTAACTGTGTCTATATTCCAACTTTTTCTAAATTTATTTCTATTTTTATTATGTTTTATCTCTAATTTATCTGTTTTATTACACAGTATATAATCTATTTCGTTCCGAATTTTTCCGACTGGGGATAGCCATGTCCACTTTCTTTGAGGTTTTTTCTTATAGAATGTGTTCATGTGGGCTTGTAGGAAGTTAATCAAGGTTTTCCCTCTTTCATTTCTAACTCCAGAACCGAATTGTCCTATATAGATTTCGGTTTTTTTAAGTCGCTGTCCGATCTTAGCGTTGAAGTCTTCTATTATCATCGTATACGTGCAGTGATAAATCGTGCTAGTTTCTGCAATTTTCTCATAAAATTTGTCTATCTCTTCATCGAGATGTGCTGCGGTTGGAGCGTATACTTGAATAATTGTCAGGGAGATGTTCTCGTTTATATTTAGCCTAATCAGTGCAATTCTTTGAGATGTTCCTACGAATTGCTCTATTTTATGTGCATATTTCTTGGAAATTAGAAATCCTACGTCATCTAGGCTTTATTTTTCTCGCCCTTTGTAATAGAAGACGTTACCGGACTCTGGTGTTATGCACTCTTCCCCTTTTCTTTTTACCTCTGCTAGACCAATTATGTCCCATTGTAAGTCTTTGATGTCTTCTTCGAGTTCGTAGACTTTTTCATCTTTGCTTAAGAAGCTTATATTTAGAGTTGCAATGTTCAATCGTGTGGATTTTAGCGATACATTGCTTCCCCCAAATTCCATGAAGCTGTCCTTTTTTCCAAAGGAGTAGGATTTGCCATTACTGTATGTTCTACCCACCTGGGGACCCATCCCTTTTGTTTTAGATATCGCAAATTCCTGTTAAAAGGGTTTTTAGCCTTAAAACACTACGCTGACTAGACGGGTTGTCAGTGATTTTATCTCTATCTATCTAATTAGTCTTCTTCGGTCCATCTTTGGACATAGACCTAGAGCCCACGCGCTTCTTATATCATCTGCCCATCTCATTTGGGGCCTTCCTCTGCTTTGTTTATATTCCCACGGTCTCCAACTTATAAGAATTTTGTTCTATCGGTCTTCTTTTTGTCTTATATTGTGTCCGGCAAATCTCCATTTCAATTTTGCAACTTCTTGTCTAACATCCTTCACTTTTGTTTTCTCTCTTATCCATTAGTCTTATGCAGTGATTTTATACAATCCCTAAAATCAAGGAATTGTTTCTTCCGCGATTCACACCATACCGAAGGTATTTTTCAGCGCCGTGGCTGCCTTTGTGGACTTCATCCGTGGCCCTGGAAAAACACCTGGAATCTACGAAGGGCAGGGATTGATTCATTTTCCCTGATAGGACTATCCAAAGGAGTTCCTACCCGCTACTCGAATAACATACTGTAACAATATTCCAGCTTAATGTTATTATGTGTTTCACATAGATAACGACACATGGATTGAATACCTAAAGAAGCTTAGTCTTAGTCTTAGAAGGAGACTCGCTTAGTCCAACGCTATTCAATCTAATCATGGATGAAATCATCAATACTATTAATAAAAGAAGAGGATACAAAATGGGGAGCAAAGAAATCAGATTACTCTGCTATGCAGATGATGCGGCCCTAATTGCATCCAATGAAGACGATCTACAAAGAGTAACCCATAGATTCAACACAAGGGCAAAGGACTTTAATATGGTGATTTCTACACAGAAAACTAAAACAATTGTAATCAGTAAAGAACCAATTAGATGTAAACTGGAAATCGACGGTATCAGCATTGAGCAAGTAATGGAGACAAATTACCTAGGAATTACACTGTCTAACTACGGAGATGTGGAGAAGGAAGTGAAAAATCAAGTACAAAAGGCTAATAAAATAGCAGGTTGTCTTAATAACACGATATGGCGCAATCCCCACATTAATACCGACGTGAAATCAAGAATCTACAAAGCAACAATAAGACCAATAATGACATACACTTCAGAGACAAGACCGGATACCTCCAAAACTCAGCAACTACTAGAAACAGCGGAGATGCGTTTACTGAGGAGAATTACAGGAAACACACTGAGGGATCGAATGAGGAGTGAAGAGATCAGAAGAAAATGCAATATACCAGAAATAAATGAGTGGACACTGAACAGAAAAAAGGAATGGAACGAACACATAAACAGAATGGAAGAGACCCGATTAGTCAGAATAGCGAGGGACAAATCACCAAAAGGTAGAAGAAGTATCGGGCGACCACGCAAAAGATGGAGTGATAACCTCCAATAGAGGCATTAATCGACATTGAACAAGCATTTTAAAAAGAAGAAGAAGAAGAATGTTATTATGCTTTTTGACATCTCTTATATTTTTTATGATAAGTTTTAGTGAAATAATGTTTTATTTTTGTTTCAGATAGTTCTTGAAAACTGATATATCATGTTTTAATTTTAAATTAATTGTAATTTGTGTAGTAAAAAATGGAATAAATCAAAATATTAGAAAAATTTGGACTATTTTTTTATGCTACGTAAATAAACATTTTCAGTAAACAAAATATGTTATAATCTATTTCTAATGAGTGTAGAGTAATAAAATCTCATGAAGTATTCAAAAGCGCTACAGGGTAATCCGTCAATAAATTCCGTCCGCATTGCAAAATTCTGTCGTTTCATAAAGAGCAGGTAGGTATCACCCTGTTTTAAGGGATTAGTCCATTGTTATCGACAGATAAACACTGAGCCAGAGGCGTGCTAGTGGGTTAATTGACAAAAGAATATGCATTCTTAAAAATCATATTAAAGGAAATAAAAATGTAATACAGCAGAACAGTGTTATTAAAAAAATATAAAATGTAACAATAAAATATATACGAACCGAAATCGGGAAATACTCACAAACACAAACGAATGAACTTTACATATTGAAACACTTGTGGGGAGTTTAAATCAATTTATTGACAAAAACTACAAAAACTTTACTGGATACGTTATTACAATTCTACATCACTATAGTCTTCATCCGAAGAACTGTCATCATCCCCTGGTGTTATAATTATAGGGTCAACCACCTGATCGACCAAGTTGTCCAGTTCTTACATTTTATCTTCCTCTTTTAAAACATGCTGGATTGCTTTTTGCCAGTTTTCTGAAGTGATTTCCATAATGGCTTGATCAAACAATACCTTGACATCTTTTATTTTAAATGTGGTATTGTGCCTTGCAACATATCCTTTAACTTGTGCCCACATAAGTTCTATGGGATTTAATTCGCAATGATATGGCGGTAGGCGTAGCACAGTTACTTTATACTTTTCTGCTACATCTTCTACGGCATATTTTATGAAGCGAGATTTATGTTGTTTTACTACAACTAGTAGTTCCTTCTTTATTGAATTCGTCTCAAACTGAATACCTTTATTTGACAGCCAGTTAATAATTTCTTGCTTTCTCCAAGCTGAAGTTGGTACCTTCTCTATGCGCCTTGAATGGTAGCTTGCATTATCCATAACCACGACCGAATCAGCTGGAAGAAATTTTAACATTTCCCCGAAGTAGTCTTCGAAGACATCCGAGTTCATGTCCTCATGATAATCTCCCGTCCGACACGACTCAAAGCTTAACAAACCTTCTTTTAAAAATCCTTCTTCGCTTCCAATGTGAGCAATTATAAGCCTCTTCCCTTTTCCCGAAGGCACTTTAATACCCGTCGAAAGGCTTCAAGCTCGCCGAAAGCTTGGCGAGCACTTGTTACATTTTTATCTTGCCACAT